TACAAAAACAATGAATACTGTTATGCTGAAAATAAATTTTAAAAAATGATTAAAAAAATTAAATAATCAGCTATAATTAAAAAAAATATATATATATATATATATATATAAAAGAGCGGAAGTTGGAGGCTGTGTGTGGGGAGAGGTCCTTGTTGTGTGGTAAAATTTCCTGTGGGATGGATAAGCGGAAAGCTGCATGTTTTTCATTAGGGAATCCTTGATGTTAGTACATGTATGTCTTTCGCTAAAGTGTTGTTTCTCCAAAGAAAAATATTCTTTCTCTGTAATAGTGAGTCCTATTATAGAGATCTCTTACAGGGTCAGGGATAGGCAGTGAAGAAAGGGAACTGGAGATCCTGCTGATCACTTTGGAAACTTGAATTCAGTCCCCATATTTTCAGTCCCAAACATCTTTCCTGATCTTCAGGTCAGACTCTGCAGTCTATCCACAGGAACTAAACTATAAACTCCTGTTAGTGTCTGGCGGTACCAGAAAGGGACACACATGTGGGCATTTATCCTTCCATTTACTTAGACACCATCGGTTGTCTGTTTCCAGCTTTGGCTCTTAGCCACTCTGCATGATAACTGGTTTCTCCTTGTTGTGAACCTTTCTTGGGTTCTCTGACAACCTGTGCTGTTTCATTGGAGGTATTTAGGCCATTTATATTTAATGTGGTTACAGATATGCTTGGTTAAATCTGTTCTCTGTCTGTTTGTTTTCTGTCCCCATTTGTTCTTTGTTCTTTTTTTCTATTTCTGCCTCTTTTTGGATTTTTTTTTTATTATTCCATCTTCTCTCCTTTATTGTGTTATCAGTTATTACTCTCTGAAGTAGTATTTTCATGGTTCCTTGAGGCTAACAGTGTACCTATACATTTAGGTACAATGTAACTAACTTATCACTGTCTTCTCTTCACTGGACAGGATGCCACTTACTACAACATATCTTCAAGTGATACTGAACCACTTTGTAAAGTACTTCCATTTCTTCAACACTGGGGTTTTACACCCACATATTGATTAGTCCTTAGCTGAATAATCAAGGAGACTGCTGTGCAGATTTCTGGATTTCCGTTGATGTAGATTTCTCCTCTCTAGATTTTGACCCTGTGAACTCTACCACCCCACCCCCTGCAGATTTCCAGGTGTGTTCCTGAATTTGGGAAAACTGTGGGCTCTGCCTGGTTTCCCTCCCTGAGCCACATCCTGGGGATTCTCTTCAGTTGTTAAAGTGGCACAACTGTATGACCATTGTGGTTGTTTACCATCTCTTGGGAATCACTGGCCTTTATTAGTAGTTGATCTATGTCTCATTAACTGTTGTCTCAAATACTGTGTCTGGTTTTGTAGTCGTTTTGAGAGGCAACATAAATCCAGTCCCTTGTTAGTCCTTCTTGGCTGGAAACAGAACTCCTCTTGTACTTTTGTGTGTATGAATTTGTGTTCTTTTTCATGCTCTGATCTTTCCTTTCCTTTCTTTTTGTTCTTGTGTGTTTATACCTTTTAAAAATTGCCTTGCTGTCCTTTTAGTGGCATCTTCAGAGAGAAAGGTAGAATCACAAGAGAGAACCAATGGTGGATGAATCACATGCATTTCAGTCTCCATAATACTTTTTATTCCACAACCAAGGCTGGCACCTGAGATCAGAGCTGACAACTGAGATGAGATCTTTTTGCCATTTGTAGTATTAATTGCATGTTTAATAAAAAAAAAAATGGTTAGTGAACATAGTTTGTCTGCTGTTTACCTCCATTGCTGAATTATCTTTTATAAGTGTAAAAATACCTTATAAGTTGCATACAGATATTGGAAGAGAACATGACAGATTGATTGATGGGCAAGACTCACTTCTGTACCCTTTTTGTGCCGCTGTGTATATGATCCTGAAGGCCTAGCATGTGGCCACAAAGGCACATCAATTTGAGAATAAATGTCTCATTTTGTCATGCTAGTTAATTCAATAAAGGCATAGTCTTTGTCCTCGAATTCTTCATAATTAAGACTCTAGGGGCATGCTAGATGAGCAGATTATACATTAATGTCTTGTGGCTGAAGTTAGCATTGGTTGGTGATGCTAGAGATCTCTACAAAAGGCTCCTACAGACAAAGAACCAGCCTGGAGTCCTGGAGTACCGTGTTGCCCAAAAGCTTTGTGGAGTCTGGAAAAGGGGACCGATAAGTAGATTCTCCTAGTACAAATCAGGGCTAGGAAGGTGGGTGGGGTGGGGGGCGTTGTTTCCGGGAAGGAGGAAAGTTGTTTCCAGGCCAGAAACAAAACCATGAAAGAGGATGGCCTAAGTGCCAGCCATTCGTGTGACTAGAACTGGTGCGTGTGGAAAGGCGCTGAGGGGGAGTCAGGGGTGCGGAGCCGAGACCACCATGTTCAGAGAAGAATTCCGTAATGCCTTTGGAAAGATAACCCTGGCACATTTCAACAAGTACTATAGAAAACTGTCATATTTAAGAAAAAGCAGTAGACCCACAATCAACAGTGAAGACATGAATGGAAACTAAGAGAAGGAATATTTTGCTTCTTTTCAAACCTCAAAGCTGATCTTGAAACCTTTATGTCTATGAAGTGTGCACCTGCTTTAAAATAGTGCAGTAAGTCTTCTCTCCAAACCCCAGAGTTCTGATTTTAAAGGATTGAGATCAGCAAGCCTTCCTTGCTCTCATTTTAATCTTATTTGATGTATTTTTCCTTAAACAAGTATTCCTAGTGATCAGAATTTGAACTTTGCCACTTTGAGTCAGTTCTTCATGTCTTTCATAGAGTTGTCCTTGTGAAGAAGAAGGTCGGCATTGCCTGAGTAAGTTCGTGAAATAAACATCTGTAAGGGGAAAAAAAAAAAGTCTTGAAATATTTCCTCTGCTTTTTAAATTGTGCAATTAATCACTCACGCTGGTGTGAATCTGGTGTCATTCCAAACCTGGCAGTTCTAAGGGATAATATCATCCTGCGTGTAAGTTTAATATTTGAGTTGCCAGGAAAGAAATCTTGATTATTCAAATAGTGTCTGACGTGGTTCCTTAATTACCTTGTTCTTGACTGTTCACAACTAAGTATGTCTGAATGTAACATAAACATTAGTCTGATATGCTATTTTTCCATTCTGAGCTACTTTTCAGGCAGGTTTATTACTCCATAAGCCAAAAAAAAAAAAAAATAATAAGATAATTTAGTATTAAATCCCAAGCCTTAAAATATCAATTCCTAGAAAGTTTGCTTCTAATCAGGCCTTTCACTACAGGATTACAGTAATGCGTAGTGTATAATAAATATTGACAGAATGATGTCACTTCATAATACTTGAGGATTTTGCAAAGAATCGAATGAGGATGGGAGGAGTCTGTGTATTTAAAACTCAGTTATTTATTACATTAAGCAACTAAAGAGGAGTCAGCTTGCCTAAGTTTCCAGTGAATGTGTTTTATTGTGATTTTCGAAACCGTTTACTTCCTTCTCCAAGCTTCGGGAAACAAACGAAAAGTGCTCCAGAAAGAATAGTTTGGAAAGACTGCACAGCCATGCCCAAGTTATTTCCTTGTGGACACCAGCCACGGAGGTTCCCCTTAGAGACCTTCCCTTTTAGTTTTAAATCTCAAACTCCTCTTTTGTAGTTCCTTGTGCCTAGCAGGTGTGTTCTGGTCCCTCATGGTATAGAAATACCTGAGACGTGATCACATTTTCCAAGCGACACTTTATTGATATAGAGGGGGTGAAGACGGTAGCTGTTTCAGCCAAAAAGGTCGTCTAGGTCTTAAAATATTAACGTAAATTGAGAACATGGAAGTCAAGTGCTAAATACTTAGTGGGCACTCCGCAAATATTTCATAGGTGTCAGGGAATCAGAGTTTTTGACTCTAAATGTATCTGATATTTCCATAGATCGTGCTTAGTAATGAAGCTTTGTCTCACCATTAGACATTGACTAGGGCATGAACATTCCTGCTTCCCCTCTCTGGCATCATGTGTTCCCTGTTTTAGGCAAGCTCTTATTGGAGTATACTCTAGAGAGAACCCCAGTATCATGAAAGAGTTATAATCTAAAGGGTGCCCTTCAGTAAGCTGTGTGTGTGTAAGCTAGAAGGTTATCGGCATGCTTTAGAGAACAAGACATGAGGACAGGAGAGTCCTCCTCAGGGGCATCTGACAGCTGGGAAAGGAAGAGGGTCCTTCGGAGAAGCTGGTGATGAGCCAAGAATGCCTCTGGTGACCAGAGTCTGGGGTCTGACTGCCATGGAGACCAAAGGAGGGCCACTCTGCCCCATGACTATAAAGAACAGGCATCCAGGGCGAGTTCTTCCAGGGGAACCATAGCTCCAAGTCCAGGCCAGGATTGTGCAATCATTGTCCCATTTTCAGGGAAGACAGCTAGTAGCTCCAGGTAGACCGTTACAGTACTGTCTGATGATGGAGGAAGACAAAGGATGCTGAGGGGGTATACGGGCAGGGCTGGGAGACAAGCAGATGGAAAAGGCTCCCCTCCCACCCCCCACATTTAATTTTGAAGGATGACTAGGAGTTGGAGCATCACGGAGTTAAAGGTAGAAAAGGACAGTCTCAGCAAAGGGAACAGCATGGCTCCTGCTAGTCTCAGGATGGGGGTGGGGGGAGATCACAGGCTGAATCCAGCACTGCACGGTGTCCCATAAGTTAGGCACCTCGACAGGCATCCGGGAATGATGTGCCACGAGCAAGGTCTGGGTAGAGTTCAGAGACACATCTGCATTTATCAGTTTACACCCGTGAGCATAGCAGCCCTCATTTTTTTTTTTTCAAGTTTCTCTTTCAGACTATTTTTAACATTGAGGAACTTCCTGACATCTGTCAGATTGCTCAGGTGGAACTCGATTGTTTTTACACCTAATAGTGAGATTTGAAGCCCTCCACGTAGATCAGTTTGTAGAAGCTACACAGTGCATTTCCTGGATTGGATCTGGCAGCCGTTCTCTGGATGAATTAAAAAGACTGGCTCTCTTTGCTGTTTTTCAGGTATCACGATCAGCAGGATGTTACCAGCAACTTCCTCGGAGCAATGTGGTTGATATCAATAACTTTTCTCTCCATCGGGTATGGCGACATGGTACCAAACACATACTGTGGGAAAGGAGTCTGTTTGCTTACTGGAATAATGGTAAGTATCCTGTCACTTTGTTTCTTTCACTGATCCCCTCAGATCGCGAAGGCGCTCCGTGTGACTGTGTGCCGTTCGGTTTCCCGACCGCGAGCGGCAAAGCATTAATGATCAGTTCTGGGTTGGGAGAGGACATCACTGATTTTCATCTTCATTCTTAACGTGACACAGCTCTGTGAAGCTCGCTGTGCCCCTGGATTGCTCTTTGGGGAGAGAGGGACTAATTTCGATGAGCAAATCCTGGTCTTCGAGCTTCAGCTTCAGCCAGAAATTTCTTTATTTTAGTGGTTTCTGCCATTGTCCTACTAGTTATGTGAACTTTAGTCAATTTCTCCTCTCTGAAACTTACTTACCTTATCTGCAAAACGGGGACCCGGCCTGAAGTGTGGCGAAGGGCTGAAGACTGGCACATTTTATCAGTTACGGAATTAGACTATGATGGACCCTTGAACTGAATGGATGGCCTGAACCCATGAATGCATGGGCTATTTATATACAGATTTTTTTTTAAGTAGGTACAGTATAGTACGGTAAATGTATTTTCTTTTCCTTACAATTTTCTGAATAGCATTTTCTTCTCTATTACAGCAAAGTTGACTTCTAAGCTAAGGTAGGCTTAGGCAAGGATAGACATCCAGGAGGAGAAAATGGTTGGTTTGAAGGCAGTGGGTCAGGGAGGAGCTTGGTACCTTTGAGCACAGCCACTGGGCCAGGCACGCACAGAGTCAAGTAAAAAAGTGGGGACACCTGGGTGGCTCAGTCAGTTAAGCATCTCCCTTCTGCCCAGGTCATGGTCCCGGCGTCCTGGGATGGAGTCCGGCTTAGGGCTCCCTGCTCAGCGGGGAGTCTGCTTCTTCCTCTCCCCGTCCCCGCCTTTCTTGTGCTCTCAAGTGTGTGTGTGCACCAAAAAAAAAAAAAAAAAGGTGGAAGGTGGTACGGCATGAGGCTGGGACGGGAGGCTGGGTCTGGGGGAGATTTTGAGAAAGGTTTGCAGCCTGTGGTGCCTGTGGTGATAGGCCACTGCCTTTATTTATTTATTTTTTTTTTTTTTGAGAGAGAGAATGAGCAGGGGAGGAGGAGCAGAGAAAGAGGGAGAGGGAATCCCATATGGGCTTCATAGAGCCTGACGTGGGGCTTGATCTCACAATCCATGAGATCGTGACTGAGCCAAAATCAAGAGACGCTCAACCGACCGAGCCACTCAGGCACCCCGACATGCCACTGTTCTGGGACCTGTAGCAGGTACAGACACAACCCCTTACTTCTTACACCTTCTGCTTTGACTAGGACTAGTTTGTTCCATGTGTTTTATTTAATTTTTTTAAGATTTTATTTATTTATTTGACAGAGATCACAAGTAGGCAGAGAGGCAGGCAGAGAGAGAGGGGAAGCAGGCTCCCTGCCGAGCAGAGAGCCCGATGCGGGGACTCGATCCCAGGACCCTGAGATCATGACCTGAACCTAAAGCAGAGGCTTTAAACCCACTGAGCCACCCAGGCGCCCCTGTTCCATGTGTTTTAGATGATAACGGGAGGGTGGCAAGTTGTCTCAAACTGATCATAATGCAGTGTGAACTTTTAAATGCCGAAGCCGGGCATCGCTTCCCATCGCCGCACTGTTGGCAGTGACCTAGGTTCTATTTGTTGCTTAGCTGCTTTTTCTAGTTTGGATACAGCCAAATATTATCTCGCTGCTTCTTTGATTTTCTGCCTAGGTCAGGATATGAGAGCTAATACCAGGAGCTCCTTAGGCAGGAAATTCCCAGCGTTTCTGAAGTTAGGCATCCCTCCCAATGCCTCCCCTGTGTCCACCCCCAGGTTGGCAGCAGAGGGACAGGCTCTCCATGTGAAGGCCTTTGAACGGTGGCCAGGGAAGCCCGTACCCTTGTAACAGCTGCCTCGGGGGACTGTTCCAAGAGTCAGAACTAGCAGGAAGGACTGCGTGCCTGTGGCATGGATTGGAGTGAGAACATTCTTCTCTCACTCGGTAGTACCGACCTGGGGTAAGGCAGCTACGTGGGAACATAAAATCCAGGGCTAGTTTCAAGGTCACCAGGAGCCACAAGATGACCATTTCAGGCCCCAGTTGTAAGGAATATAATATGTGGGTATCACTTCACATGGTTGGCTTGTAAAAGAAAAATGCAGTTCTGTGTGTTTTAATGAAAAAGGTTTTTTTTCATTACGCTGGGGATGATCTGTTCTGTTAACTATTGGATCTCTTCCTCATTTCTCCTCAGAAGATGGCATTTTGTTCGATAGCATAATGCTCTGGGAAATAAAATTTGCATGGATGTATTTTTGGAGGGCCATAACAAGCCCACAAGGGACATGAATGATGCTATTTATAAAAAACAAACAAACAAACAAACAAAAAAAACAAAAAACAAAAAAAACGAAACAGACCTGCTAATTGCAGAGTCTTTCCCCTTAAGCTTCTTATAAACAATTTCCTTGATGTTTCTTTTAGGCAAGATGTTCTCCCCCCACCTTTTTATTGTTGAATCAGGTATGACTCAGGGTTTGTGCAAATGGTCTAATACGCCATAGATCAGAACCGGATGGGAGGTCTGCCTTGCCTGGGTCTTGCAGTATTTCTAGCTTTCCTCGCTTTTTTCTTTGTCCTCAGGGTCTTCAGAGCCTCACCTGACAGCACAGAATCTTTTATTGAGTTGAACTACTTGCTTACTTAGGTTTCACTAGGGATCCTACTTTACAGAAAAAATAGGAGTTATACTCAACCTTTCATCTATACGGACCCAAAGATGTTATGTTCCTTGAAGTTCACAGTGACTTCGCTGCTGCCCTCTAGATTCATGGTGAAACAGACTCTCTGTTCTCAGGCTGAGGAGGTCCACTCCCATGTAAGGAACAGATGAGACTTTTTAATTTTTTATTTAAATTCAATTTAGTTAACGTAGAGTGTCTTACTAGTTTCAGAGGGAGAGTTTAGTGATTCATCAATGGCATATGACATCCAGTGCTCATGACATCACAAGCCCTCCTTAAGGCCCGTCACCCGGTTACCCCTTCCCCCCACCCCCTCCCCTCCAGCAACCCTCGGTTTGTTCCCTAGAGTTAACAGTCTCTTATGGTTTGCCTCCCTCTGTTTTTGTCATTTCTTATTTTTCCTCCCCTTCCCCTGTGTTCATCTGTTTTGTTTCTTAAATTCTGCATAGGAGTGAAATTGTATGGCATCTTTCTCTGACTGACTTATTTCACTTAGCATAATATCCTCTAGCTCTAGTGGCAAGATTTCATTCTTTTTGATGGCTGTGTAATATTCCGTTGTGTGTATATACCACATTTTCTTTATCCGTTCATCTGTCGATGGACATCTGGGCTCTTTCCATAGTTCATCTATGTGGACATTGCTGCTATGAACATTGGGGAGCAGGTGCCCCTTCAAACAGACTTATTTCTTAACTGGCCCCATCAGAAGTGGTTTACTTGCATGTCGACAAATTCATTAACCTTGGACTAACCTACATGAAATGCTTCATGGAGTCTGATTAGACCAAGCAACCTCCCACGGAGTTGCGTCCCCAGAGCGATCTTCTGGGGGTGAGTTTCTGGGAATTGATTCCATCCCGTGTAAACTTTCTGGGGCTTGATCATGTGTGGCTCAGGTTACCTACAATGGATATGAAGAGTGTTTGGCTGACAGTGAAGATACCTAGAAGAAGCTAAGTTGTCTTCCTAGCCCATAGATATGGTTAGTTTCCTTTTAAAAAGTGTCTGACAAAACACCTTTCATCTTGTTTTGTTTTTTGGCTTTTGTTTCAGGAAACTTAAATACCAGTTTGTCACTTTGGGATTATCCAAGCCAGACACCGACTTGCTTTTATTTTAGGCATTTATTTGCCTATTCCCCCTCGGGCTTTTGCAATGCATGTTTAGGTAAAATGCACAATGTCAGATTTCCCATGGGCCATCTCTCTCTCTCTCTCCATCTGGTCCCTACTAAATTGTGAAAAAGAAATACTATTTACAATACTCCTGAGAGAGGACAGGGTCATCCCTGAATCATCTTGTCTATTATCTCTGAAGTGCTATATTTTTTGTGTTCTTTTATATTTGAATTTTCTGGTTTTTGTCTTTATGAAATTGATAGAATATATAGCTTTATGTGGTGGGGTTTTTTTTTCCACTTTGATGTAAGATATAGTGAATCCAAATGCTAACATCTACAAAGACCATTCCCCATTTCAAAATGTACACATAAAGAAATGAGCACTGGCTTTCTTCATAAAACTAATGAAACTGATGAATTATTTCATGACACCTTTTTAGATGTGCACATTTCATTGGTTAAAACCCCAAAATTAAACTGTAATTTAAAATTTTTAAATAACTTAATTTGTGTCGTGAGTGATATTTTTGGGCTCTAAAGACATTAAGATTAATCTGCAGTGCTCTGGGCAGAAATATATTGTGAAAGAGTGAGGAGAGTTTTCCAGAATATTTCTAAGAGACAAACAAATGGCCTTATCAAAAACAAAACAAAACAAAACAAAACACCTCTCCTTGCCTGAAATGTCAATTGTGAATCCAAGACAACCATGTAAAGCTTTTCTTGTAATTTTTACAGTGTTGTATGCATAAATGATGATGGAAATGCTTAAAATAAGATGATCTTAGATACAGGTACCACAGTGTGATAGATCAGACAAATCAAGCAGAAATCTCCTTCTTACCCACACCTACCTTATAGTAAAGCTGAAGACACAAAGATCTCTTCCTCTCTCCTGGATAGTGTCTTAAAAACACAGACTCCCAGGATTGCTTAATGGTCACTCATCACCCTTCCAGAGAAAGCCATGAAGGTTGCAATTATTTTTTTCTCTTTATCCATCAGTCTTTCCTCTGTGGGGTCCTACCAAAGACTTGATGCTTCCGCAGCCAATGGGATGACCTCTAAATGGCTTTCTTCTTTTGGCTGAAGGTGCTGGGCAGACATCGCTGTCAGATCATTGGTGTCTTAGCTTTTCATCAGTTGGA